GCCTGATGATGGAGGACACACCGCTGTCATTCAAATGAAGGTGGACCATCAGACCGTAGACGTCGTGGTGGATAACAGCTGGGTTGTGCCATACACTCCCTTGCTCTCGAAAATGTTTCGAGCACATATTAATGTGGAGTACTGTAATTCGGTGAAGTCGACTAAGTACATCTGCAAATATGTGAACAAGGGAAGTGACATGGCAACGTTCGGTCTCGAGCATGCCACTGCACCGTTTGATGAGATCGAACGATATCAAACGGGCAGGTACATAAGCAGCAACGAGGCAGTTTGGCGTATCCTGGGTTTCAGGATACACGAACATTACCCACCTGTCACCCATCTACATGTCCATTTAAAGAATGGACAACGCGTCTACTTCACGACTGATAATGCGCAGGAAAGAGCTGCGCAACCACCTCAAACAACTTTGACGGCATTCTTCCTTCTGTGCCAACATGATCCGTTCGCACGGACTTTGTTGTACTCAGAAGTTCCAAGATATTACACTTGGAACAAGTCAAAAAAGAAGTGGGCCAGAAAAAAGCAAGGAACCGAAGTTCCCGGATATGACGTCAGAGAAGCGGATGTGTTAGCGCGTGTATATACTGTACACCCTAACCAAGCCGAATGCTTCTATCTCAGAATGTTGCTTCACACAATCCGAGGACCGACGTCATTCGCAGCATTGAAGACCATCGATGGAGAGGAATGTGAGACCTACAGAGAAGCATGCCAAAGACTTGGCTTGCTTGAAGATGATCAGCAATGGGACAGAACTCTCGCAGAAGCAGCTACGACAAGTTTCGCTGCTCAACTGCGAAGTCTCTTCGGATCATCTTGACAGTCTGTCAACCGTCAAATCCTCGAGCACTCTGGGAGAAGTACAAAGAGGCTCTGAGTGAAGACGTACTCAGGGAATGTCGCAGAGAGGCACCCTCTGCAGACGTCGGTTACTCTCCCCAGATATTCAACCGAGCGTTGATACTGCTTGAGGATACGTGCGCGTCGATGACCGGTCAAACTCTCAGAAACCTCGGTTTGCCGTCGCCAACATGCGGAGATGACTAGGCACTCGAGAGCGATGTTCTCCGAGAGAGGTCCTATGATGCCGATTAGCTGACCACATTTGCAGAGTCTAACAGACCTCTTCTTACGGAGGATCAAGAGTTGGTTTACCGTGCTGTTCTGGACACGATTTCCAGTGGCAAAGGTGGGCTGCTCTTTCTCGACGCTCCGGGTGGAACAGGGAAAACGTTTCTCATCAATCTCCTACTTGCCGAGATTCGCAGACAAGGAGGAATCGCAGTAGCAGTGGCATCCTCGGGGATTGTCTCAACACTGCTAGAAGGAGGCCGAACTGCCCATTCAGCCTTCAAGCTTCCTCTGGATATTGCTCATGTAGAGCACCCAGTGTGTGGGATAAGCAAAGGCACAGGGAAAGCCAAGGTGCTACAGGAAACCAAACTCATAGGTTGGGACGAATGCACCATGGCGCATAAGAAGTGCCTAGAAGCCCTTGATAACACACTACGGGACATACGAGAAAGCAACAGGCTAATGGGTGGGGTCGTCGTGCTACTGGCAGGCGACTTTCGTCAAACTCTGCCAGTGGTTCCGCGATCGACTCCAGCAGATGAGTTGGATGCTTGCCTCAAAGCTTCTCCTCTCTGGAGACATGTACGATCGCTGAATCTCACGACGAATATGCGAGTCCATCTCCTTGCTGTCGCTTCTTGGCGAAGGCAGAATTCCGGTTGAACCAAGTTCTGGCTGGATTACCTTTCCTCCAGACTTCTGCAATATGGTTCAATCGGTGAGAGAACTGATCGAAAAGGTCTTCCCAAACATTGCCACCAACTTCAGCAATGGGGACTGGATTTGCGAGCGAGCAATTCTGGCACCCAAAAATGAGCAAGTGAATTCTATCAATGCTCAGATTCTAAACAGCCTACCTGGACCGGTATCAACGTACACATCCTTTGATACCATGGTTCAGCGTGAACAGGCTGTTTACTTCCCCACTGAGTTCTTGAATTCACTCGAGCCCAATGGGATACCACCCCGCAGACTTGATCTGAAGGTTGGTTTGCCAATCATGCTCCTTCGTAACATCAACCCACCGAAGATGTGCAATGGTACAAGGCTTTGCATCAGGGATCTCATGCCAAACGTCATAGTAGCGACCATATTGGCGGGGAAGTTCAAAGGCGAAGTCGTTCATGTTCCACGAATCCCTTTACTCCCCTCCGATATGCCCTTTGAGTTCAGGCGAGTGCAGTTTCCGGTCAGGCCTGCACTTGCTATGACGATCAACAAAGCGCAAGGACAGTCTCTACGAACAGTAGGAGTAGACCTGGAAACTCCCTGTTTTTCGCATGGTCAACTGTACGTGGCGTGTTCGAGGGTCGGGAGTCCGGCGAACCTGTACATATATGCGCCCGAAGGGAGCACGGCTGACGTAGTGCATCCCAGGGCGCTAACATGATTGCATGCTGTAGTATAGTACAGTATTTATTTGTTGCATGCATTCTATTGGAAAATCCAAAAAAATTGGAAAATACAAAATCCAAAAAAATGGCAAAACGAAAACCCCAAAAAACGGCGGCCAGCGGCGGTCAGAGCAGGTGGGTGGGGCAAACAAGAAGCTGGACAGATTCAGTCGAGCTTCCCTCCTTACTGATGAGTTCCGGGGAAAGCCTAGGACCTGTTTAGCCAAATCATCTGAGGGTAGGAACGAAACGGTACATCCTCTTCTTGAGGAACGAAACGGAAGGACAACTATCGGCATCGGCTGCCTCTGTTGAGAACAACCATCGGTTGCCTCTATTGAGGACAGTCATCGGTTGCCTCTGTTGAGGACAATCATCGGTTGCCTCTGTTGAGGACAATCATCGGTTGCCTCTGTTGAGGACAACCATCGTACCAACCATCTGTTGCCTCTGTTGAGGACAATTATCGGTACAACCATCGATTGCCTCTGTTGAGGACAACCATCGGTACAACCATCGGTTGCCTCTGTTGAGGTCAACCATCGGTTGCCTCTGTCGAGGACAACCATCGTACCAACCATCGGTTGCCTCTGTCGAGGACAACCATCGTACAAACCATCGGTTGCCTCTGCTGAGGACAACCATCGGTACAACCATCGGTTGCCTCTGTTGAGGACAACCATCGGTACAACCATCGGTTGCCTCTGTTGAGGACAACCATCGCTACGAGCATCGGTTGCCTCTGTTGAGGACAACCATCGTACAAACCATCGGTTGCCTCTGCTGAGGACAATCATCGGTACAACCATCGGTTGCCTCTGTTGAGGACAACCATTGGTATAACCATCGGTTGCCTCTGTTGAGGACAACCATCGGTACAACCATCGATTGCCTCTGTTGAGGACAACCATCGGGAGTTGGCAAAGGGGTAATTGAGCATGCTGATTATTAGCACAGCGCGAATAGGGAATTGGCATATAGAAGTGGGCACAGAGAAAGGCTGTACGGGGATAGGGATGTGTCCTTTATTATAGGTTTTGACAGGGCCGGGCGGGGCCGGGTAAGCCAGCTAGTTTTGTCTATAATCATGTCCATGTTCAACAGCAGATTTCTGCCAAACAAACACTCAATTACTGCTGGTTATCTATCTATGTTACAGAACAAATCTTCTTTAACAAACGTAGACCTCGACTTTCTTTTAGCATTCATTTGGAGAGCTGAAAGTGAAGACACAAAATCAGTTGATATATGAAGCACATAAAATGCCTCATATCTCGCGGCACAGAAGACTTAGAAAAAAGTCGACGGTCTACGCCGATTCTGCATGACCTCAGCTTTCGAATGGTGTGTAACTTGTTAGGGCATTTTGCTTTCAGGGCTCACTTATTTCCTTCATCTTACAACAATGGGAGTAGCAGAGACCCCCTTCACCTGGAGAGGGCCGGGCTCCCCCTATCGCACCTATGCGCAGAATGATATGTCACAATGGGTTCATAAGCTGTAATCAGCTCATTTCTAACGGAGCCAAAAATGGTAAGCTACCTCTTTCGTGGGAGGAAAGAATAGCTATAATTGCAATAAATTGTTCAGTTTTGATTTCATGTCTCCTACGCCGTCGTATACAAGAGGTCATAGCACACCTTCGATAGCTTAAATAAAGGGCATCTTAAATGAAGGTTGTTTGAATATCTGCCCTTTATAAAAAGCGAAGATTGTTCATATAAAATCAAAAAGAAAAAAAAACGCAAAAAAAGGCAAAAACCGAAGAAAGTCTTGAAAACCTGATAGAAACGCTGTAGTTCGAAATCCTTCATTTAGAGGCTTTCGAATTGCAGATTTTCGCCTAGGGGCCAAGTAATCCACGACACGGAGGAAAAAGAGCGAAAGCTATTTTCTTCCTTGTATCGGCGATTCATTACACGCAAAGACTGGGCGCCACGTCCGACCAAGATATCTCTGGAGAAGACAGCAGATAGTATGAGAGACGAAAGCCTTGATCAAAGAGACGCCTATACGTCCGCAGTCTTTGCGTGGGATGGCGATGAATCGCCCAAAATTGTTTTGGAAAATTCAATGTTTCGGAAACGGTGATCATCGCGAAGAGAACGGGAAAGAATTAATTATGAAAACTAAAGTTTTGTTTTTTCTAAGAGTCCAAGTGCACGAGAGCAATCTACTTTTTGATGCATCGTTTGAATTTTTATTCCCTTCCCGTAATCTTTGTTTCTGGCGATGTTGTCAGCTTTGTTATGCTTACAATCCTGAGCGAAACCCCCAGCTTGTAAGAGCATACTGACTCTAATCTTATAATATAAAATCGAAACGCCTATTTCAAAAATAAATGAAAAGCGGGAAACCGCGCGGCGGTCCCGGCGCGGAAACATCTAGCAATGGGCCGGGAAATAACATTTTTTGAGTCGTTTCTGTATCTTTTGCCCATTTTCGTATCATTTTTTGTCTTTCTCGCAGCGTATTTTTCTTCTTAATACGTCAAGACGAATTGTTTCAGTAGGCTGTTCTTTGTGTGCCATGGTTAGTACCAGATGGATTGGTGGAGAAGTTCTTTTGGCTGATTATGAGCAAGAAATACTCCTCACATTGCGATATTCGAGAGATCGATTATTGGGGGCTATTCGTTTTAGATATCCATCTGCAATGCCAGATAATCTGCTGACTTTAACAGCGGGAAGATTCAGTATCGCTCTATGAGTTCCTCCGCATTCCTTCATGCCTGCTGAATCTGATGTGCTGTTTAAAATCGATGAATGGTGAGTTTTGATTTCTGCAGTAACTGGTAATTTATACTACCCAGTGCACAGAGTACTATGGCACCCCTGTTAAGACAGCTTTTCTTCATGACCCTCAGGGTGGTGGAAACTAGATAAACAAGGTGCACGATGATTGATATTGGCAGATATAAAAGTGTTTCTTACTCTTTCTTCAGGCAAACACCTATTTATTCCCACGCCATCAAATTTTGGGAGACTGCGCAGCTCGCCAAAGATTGTTTACTCCAAGTAGTTTGACGACGTTGACATTATCCGTTGCTCTCTCAGTGTGTACTCCCAGTTTTTGACAGCCATGTTTGCCTATTGTTTAGGTCACCACCCATCGCTTTCCATTCCCATAGACTAAGAGGAAGTTGCTACTATAGCTTCAAATGTGGCACTTCCGTGGGAGATGCCAGCCGATATGATGCCATGGCAGGGTCAGCGCCACTTATGGCACTTCCAGATGTTAGATTCCGCGTAGGATTGATGGATGGCTTAGCAAAAAGGCGAGTTTATGTCATTCTACGCTATTCCTTTTAACAACCGGATCTTGTTTTGTCGGGTCCACATTTACTTACAGCTACTATGGCTAGCCACATGCAGCTTTTGGTTCTTGTTGGTATCTGTGTTCACAGTCGTAAGGATTTGATGCGCAAGGATGAGGCAACGGGCGCACAACAACGTTTATCGAGAACGCGTGTGGACTTGTGGGGCGAGGCGAGTTGTCAATGCTATCCAAATGTTCATTGTGGTTCGGGCGTGATTTTTCGAGGCCTAAGGCCTCGGACAGAGTTCACGCGATTTGATCGTCGCGATTTAATCGACGCGATTTCCTTTCATTTTCATTTCACATTCAAAAATTTCGGGATGGAAAAGTATCACAATCGAAATGCAAGCTGGTCGGCATGCAATGCACTCATAACAGTTGTCTTGTCGCGATTGAATCGCGACGATCAAATCGCGTGAACTCTGCCCGAGGCCTTATGCTGTTGGTTAGTGAAGACTGCCAGATGTCAATGCGTTCTTGATCATGGTTTATTGTTTTTGATCATCATCACCACTGTGCACTTTTTTTGCCATCCAACTCTCGCTTCTGGCTCTCGGGAGTTCCTAGACATCGCCTAGGATGGCTGGTCCCAGCTTCCAGCAAATGATAGAATCACTGTGGAGAATGCATTACCGATAGCCAGGGTCAATCAAGACGTGTGGGACACGATCACTGGTTACGACCCCCCCCCCCTAATTGTGTCAATAAGGCCCCCAGAACTAGGTACCTAAAGTAGCTTTACTTGAAGGTCCTGTCAAACATAACGGCAACATATCCATAATTAGCATGTCAATCAACCCCTATATGCCCGGATACTTCCATACTAAATGAGATTTCAGTGTTTTATGTGATCCCTGGGGATCTCCAGGGCAGTATATGCTTTTGTTTTCTGAGTGTCGCGGTCGGCGCGGCTCGCGTTTTCGCGAACCGCCTTACTTGGGTCATTGTGATCGCGAACTTGTTTCGGGGCGTTTTCCCAAGCTCGTCAGTCATTGGTGTCTATGGGTTCGCTTGTTTCCACCTCTCAAGCATGAGAAAATAGCGCATCCGCTGAGGGCGAACGCAAGACCCAAGCGAGACGGCTCGCGAGGATCCGAGCCGCGCCGACAGTGACCCTTCGATGGAGCCCCTGTAGATTCTAAGCGGAATCTGTACTAAAACCATTCTTTAGCTTCACCGTTCCTTTGACCTTGACATCGGCAAAGTTAATTTCACGTTTCACCTTCATGAATTCTTGCAGGTGCAATCAACATACCCTCGATATCATCACATATGTCTTCCCTCAACATGACGTGGATTACGTGGCTTGATGAGGCGCCGCCTCGCCTCGGGCTTGCGCCACGTTGCGAGCGCATCATTTGGCGCGACGTGGCGCTCAACACAACGTGGCGCAGGCTTTTCCACGTTCTTCTTGTTGCCACATCACGCCGAAAATGCGCACGCAACGTGGCGCAAGCCCGAGGCGAGGCGGCGCCTCATCAAGCCACGTAATCCACGTCATGTTGAAGGAAGACATATGGGATGATATCGAGGGTACTTCTAAAGCGCTGTTGCGACGACCAGAGGAGTACCACATAGTAAAACAACGATCGCTTGCCCGAGTTTACGTGCTGCAATGGTAGAGTGGCGACTGGAATGATAGGTAAAGTATCTGACCCTGTTCCATTTTCTCGTTTGTCGAAATGATTGTCAATGACCCGGATATACCTCACGCGATTTCAGTCGCCACGCGACTTAGCAATACTTCAGTTCTTATGATTCGCAAACTCAATTTGATCACATGGAAAATACCACATTATATCGAATCACAAACGTTGAATATATCAAGCATTTGCGGTCTGCGGTTGTTGGGTTTGAAGAGACCGGCAAATGGCCAAATCGCGTGACGACTGAATTCGTGAGAAGGAACCTATTATTCACTAAGTATGAATGTTCTAGAGATGCTTATCCTCATTGATCTTTCATCAAGAAGTGGATCAGACTACTTTGAAGTTTGTTCCCCGGAGAAACAGAAACATTTTGCGGAGTCAGCAACATTGTCCAGACTTCAGACCGTCCTTGTATTATTTATTATTTATCTATTTTTGTGGAGGTCTCTTTGAGTTTGTCCCACGTCAACGTCTTTTTTCGTGCACTTGGGTTTTGTAGCATACATGTGGCGCAATCAATGACATGTTGCGAATTTGATTTTCAACTTTGCTTACGGGGAACCGCGATCATGAAAAGAAAGGTCATGCAGGGAAGAAGGTGATGTAATGTATTTGAAATACTTGATATATACATCTTTTTTCATAGAAAGCTGCAGCAGACATATCTGCCTCAGCGCGTACTAAGCCAGGCACTTCCAGATATGAGTAGTGGCATGCGATATTTTTAGAATTTTCACAATTCCACTGCAGTGGCAGCGATATACTAACAATCAAGAAGGACGTCAAGACTGATTCACGCTGGTTCGTCATTCATAGCCTGCCAATAAAGTTACGTACAACATAAAGTGCCCTTCGGATCATTCTCTCTCTCTCTCTCTCTCTCTCTCTCTCTCTTGAATTTCGCCTCTGAGCATGTAGATTGCTCGGCCTTATGGGAAGCAAGCAGTGTTTGCCCTAAGAGGCAGTGTCCGGGAAGAAATGGATCTTGAGGTTTTTTGCCTATCTGCTTATTTGCTGTGCTGAATCCAGAATGCATCTGAATAGGAAAAGGGGATCTAGCGCAGAAGGCAGTCAGCAAATGGGCGGGGTCTTCAATTCTGTAAAGTCATTTTCCCAACTTCTAGAACGATCTTCTTCCGGCTTTTGAGTCACGCGTTTGTGCTTGGCCGGTGGCAATGTTAGGGCGGCTAGCTGAAGCGAGAAGATTGCCTCGGAAGCGGGAAAATGACTTCACAGAATGGAAAACCCCACCTGCTGATTCCCCTCCTGCTCTATAACCATCTTTTACCATTTTCGCGCTCTTCAGTGTGGATTTTTTAATTCAGCATGGCGAATAGGCCCAGGTAAGCAAAAAAATCTCAAATTCGACTTCTTCCCGGACACTGTCTTTAACTGTAGCAGTGCTCGAGAATTTATTAGGTTGGAAACTAAGTTTTGCAACTACTTCAGTAAGTTTCTTCTTTTTCAACAGGGTGCACCCAAATTTCGCCGTAATTTGGATTATGACGCAAGCTACAATCGAGTGGATTTAGCGGTAAATATAGTGTGCTTGCGCAGAAGGTGAAATGCGGTGAAATTTGCGCGTGAATAAGTAGCCACGCCAGTACTGCGGGTATCGTGCGCGCGCAATTGGCCGGCGTCACAGTCGAAGTCAACAGTTGCTCTCCTGCCTCTCTTGCCAAATTCTGACATCGCGTTAGTTTTACGGTAGGAATATGATACAAAGGAAAAATTACAAAATTTTACGGATTTGGCAGAAACTAAACATAGGGGGTTATTCAACATGCTGATTACGAAATTAATACTAAAATTGCATTGTAAGGGCTTTTTTTGTAAGCTCACTGTAGGTTTACCGTATGGGATCTAGCCTTAAACAAGGAAAGAGGCGTTAATTCAACTATCGAGCATGGTATATATTCGTGTTTGGCAATACCACTACGTGAGGTCTCAGCGGAATTTAGAGTTCCAGCTGCTTTGTTGTCCACAACACTCTTACGTGAAGCATCTCGTTCAACTTTGTGAGAGCCACATCTCGATTTGTCTTTCAATTCTGTTCATTTTCTACTGAGCCAAATGAGTCAGCCTCTGGCAACGATTTACACACAATTTTGGATCATTGTGCATGATCTGACTTGCAGATGGCTTGATTTTCACTTATAACCCCAAAAATACTCGAAATTCGCTAATTTTGAAAAATGCCTGTAATTTTTCCAAGTCGTGATCAAAAATCAAACAGTTTGCGCATAATTGCAACACACATTGAGTTCTCTATATTGCCAAAGTTTGAGCGCACCACATTACAAGAAAGAAAAGTTATGAAGGAGGTTGCAAAACTTAGTTTCCAGCCTAATAGTAAGGGTGCGTCATTTTCTATAAGACTAGAATTTTATGACTAGAGATGGACAATGCATAGATCCGGCAAACATCTTTGCGTGTATTCGTAACATCCACGGATGACTTTTTTTTTTCTTCCTCTCTTATCTCTAGCTCATTCGCTCTTTGTAATCAAATATTGGGGATGTTTTCGTTCAGGAAATGGCAGTTGGTTGTTTCTGGGAAATGTCACACTAGGAGGAGGGAGGGAGGCTGTGAACAACTTAGCAAGACCGGGAGATGGCCGCTTCGCAGGACAATAACGACTGGCCTTGCGTTGCTTGTCTAAGGCACGCGCGCACACACACACAACCCAACGCAATCTGTTGGTCAATCTGTGAATTGATCAAGAATGAAGCGGAAAGAGTAGCCGCTTCTCTGTTGCTCAGTCCACTTTTTGACCAATAACGAAGTGGATGGGATCAAGTGGATTAAGTGTGGGCATGTACTTGAAATTTTGCTCCCCCTCCTTCCTGCTCAGGCAAAAGCAACCGTAGATCGCTCGCCGAAAGTTCGTGCGTGATTGGTTCAACAACGTTTGAGCGAATGGGCCCACATCGCGGGAAATTCGTCAAAAGAGGAATTACTTGGCCGTGTAAGCCGTCCGCGCAGGGCGCGAAGAGTGCGCAAGGTTTGTATTGCGCGTTACTCCTCTTTCCTCATGCACTTCTCTGCGCTTCTTCCAGTCGTCAACTGCGTTTAATGTACGCAACAGCGTTGCTCTCCATGCGCAGCGCGGACGGCCTATAGTAGGTTAGCACATAAGCTTTGCTTCTTGTAGGCTTTGTCTTTTGAATGTGGCGTTTCCATTTGCTTCCCCATTATAATGACTGTCATGTGAGCAACGAATGCAGCCATTTCTGCCGAATTTCAACATCGCTTGAAAGTTACGGTAAGGCCGTTTCGATTGCGAAAGAAAAGGGAATTGTTGGAGCTTGGTCTAGGAGGGAGGTTACGACATCCTGATCACAGACATTTATTTTGCGTGGTAGGCTTATTCTGTTACGAAAAAACGAGTGAAGAAAAATCAATGGGCTATTTGTTAACCTTCAGAACATAAATTATCGTAACTCTTACTGTAGCTATCTTACCGTAACTCTCAAATGAGATATTGGAATTTGGCAGATACTGCATTTGCTCAC